TTAAGGATATTAATCATCATCATGATGAGGGATCTGATGAATATTCATGATTTCATGGCACTCAATTCATATTGCCTTCCATCTGTATGGGTCTGAGTGCAATTTTATGACCCCAAGGTCACATTCTGATACTTCAGAGTCATCAGGTATTCTGAAAACAACAGTTGCTCTCTGGGATTTCAGAATCAGGCTTTCAAATAAAGCAAAACAGTTTTCCTAAATGACTCTGGGGACCAGCCCAAATGCTGGGAAGCCTGACCCAGCCCACACTGGAGCACACCCTCCCTCTAACCCTCAGCCCTCCACCACTGAGCCTGCTGCCCCCACATGCCACATAGTGCTCCCTCCCCAACTGCAGCTTCCCCGTGGGGAACAGCAAAAAGGACAGAAGCACCATGGCAGGAGTATTCCTTTCATTACACATCCTGCTGTCTGTAGGAACAAGGTCTGTAATTGTTACCCCCCACTCTGCCACCACCCCTGTTGCCAGGGAGGGTGATGCTGGCAAACAACTGAAAAATCCTACCTTAGGTTACAATTCTGATTTCCTTTATTTGGTTGGTTGATTATTCATTTTATTGTAATTTTTAATTAGTTGCACCCTTAACTGTTTTCCAGGAGAGAGTCAGAATTCACTACAGCACAGAGCTACCCCCAGATCACAGGGGGAGCAAAAAGAGACTGGGAGATAAAAAAGATACTGGATAAAATTCCAAAGCGGGGCAGAATCAATAATCAGGGATCAAGAATTAGAGACCAAGCCCAACCCTCATGCAATCCCAGGAGGATGCTGAGGTCCCAGGCAGTCTGATACAGGAAAACGTGGCAGGCGATGAAAAAACAGAAAGGTGTGACTGGTATCTTTAAACAGAGGTGTCACATGGCAGCAGAGGACAGCCCTGGGAAAGGCAGGATCCTGTGGGTGGGGTGGCCCCAGTTAGATGCAGACTTAGCCCCCTGGGTATCTTTCAGCCACTAGAAACGTAACACGTGAGATAAATCCCATAAATCTAAGAGGACAGACAACTTGATTCTAAATCAAAATTCCCTGAGATAGCACAGGCCAGATACAATTATAACAGACCACTTCCAGCATGCAGTTTCCCAAATCTTCAGCATTTTTTTATATCAAGTTGTATTCTAAAGGGAAAAAAAATCCCATGCAATTTGGACAGTTCCTTAGAGTTATCTGTAATGGATCTGACCTGCAAGATTATAACATTCCAGGTGATGTTGAACCAGTCTGCATGAGAGCTTTTACTTCATGGCTTACTTAAGACTATAAGATCAACAAATCCTATTCTGCACGTTTCTTCCTTTACAGGGCTTTGTGTGTGTGGGCTGTAATACAGGCCTCATTCTGAGGATCCATAGACGCCCAGTGAAAACGTTAGCTAACTGAAGCAGCTGGGTCTAGGTATCAGTGCAGCTGGTCAAAGATGACTATAGGGTTTATCAAAATGCCTTGGCCCCCAAAACTCTAAGGCTGCAGTCCTATGCAACGAAAGACAGTCAGGGTGTTCTGTGTGTCAGCTTGCCCAGGCCCACTCGAGGGTGCTGCCAACTTCCCACAAAAATACACACATTTTAATAACCTGTTAAGACTTTAACAGTGAGAAATGTTGACTTGAGAAATTTTTTATAATACAGAAAAGACAAGCCACAGGCTGGGAGAATACACTTGCAGAAGACATATTTGATAAAAGACTGTTATTCAAAATATGTGAAGAACTCTTAAAACTCAACAACATGAAAACAGGCAAGCAACACAATTAAAATTGGGCAAAAGATCTGAAGAGACACATCACTGCATATGATACGCAGCCAGCAAATGAAAAGATGTTCAACATGATACATAATTTAAGGAACTGCGAATTACAACAATGGAATACCACTATTTACCTATCAGAATGGCTAACCTCCAAAACACCAGTAACACCAAATCCTGCAGAAGATGTGGAGCAACAGGAACTCTCATTCATTGTTGGTGGGGATGTGAACCGGGAAAATTACTTAGAAGGCAATTTAGCAGTTTCTTACAAAACTAAACATACTCTTATCATATGATCCAGCAATCATACTCTGTGGTATTTATCCAAATGAGTCAAAAACTTACATTCACAAAAAAGCCTACACACAAATGTTTCCAGCAGCTTTATTCATAATTAACCAAAACTTGGAAGCAACTAAGATGTCCTTCAGCAGATGAGTAGATAAATAAACTATGGCGCATCCAAGACAATGGAATATTATTCATTGATAAAAAGAAATGAGCTATCAAACCATGAAAAGACATGGAGGAATTTTAAGTGCATATTGCTTAGTATGATGTCAACTATATGACATTCTGGGAAAGGTAAACTACAAGGCAGTAAAAAAAAAATCAGTGTTTGCCAGATGTTTAGGGGAAGGGGGAAATGATAGGCAGAATATAGAGGATTTTTAGGGCCAGGAAATTATTCTGTACGATATTGTAATGATGGATACATGTCATTATGTATTTGTCAAAACGCACAGAATGTACAACACAAAAAGTGAACCCTAATGTTAACTATTTTAGAGGAGGAAATTTTTTTCTTTACCCATTTAAGTTCTAGGCTGAAGCTCTACAATATGAAACATTAACAAGAGGAAAATAAACAGAAGTTTATTACCATGTACATCTCATATACACATGGGAGAAATTCAGGGAAGAGTAACTCAAAGAGGTGGCTTAGAATTCAGGCTTACATAGCATCTTCAACAAAAAACAATAAATTTGTAGAGAAACGACAGGACAAAGGAAAGTGGTTCACCTTCCAAGGGCTGCAAACTGTGGGAAGGTAAACAGACAGCAACTAGTGGTGGACAGAAGCTAGCTAGTGTTTTGTCGTGTGGATTCCTCTGGTGCCCTCTCTAGGCTGATATGGGTCTTACATTAACCACTGATTGTCCCTGATGGTTCACTTCTGTCCTTCCTGGTAGCGAGAGAAGGAGGGACATCCTTGAAAACTTATGTACTGATTTTAGGCAACTAGGGGGAGGGCAAGGAGCTTTTTTTTTTTTGTATCTGCTTCTTTTCAATTGCCTCTCAATTGCTCAAAATAATCCTTATGCCAAAGTGACAAATTTGGGGGTAGCATATTCTAAAAAATAAAACCTATTCATTTCTTTAAAAATACAGAAAAGTACAAAGAAGAAAAAGATGGAGCCATAATACTTCCATCTTTCTAACTTTCCATGTATTTATAGTTTTTTAAGTTGGGGAAATACATAACCATTCTCCAAGGAAACTGTTCCATGCTCGAGACCCCTAAGACTTAAAAGGCATCCAAAAAATGAATCTAATACTAGCTATTATCAGTACTAACACTATCAATTATTGATAGTAATAAAAATAATAATTCAAAGGCTAAGTTTCTGTTAGATCACCAGCGATCCTCAACAAAGATCTATAAAATTGCTAGATACTGAAATTAAGCATAGTATCTTTGAAAGCACACCTTTCGTCGGCATGGAGAATGTGTAATACAGTATGCCAAGAGACTTTTAAAATCTCCTGCAAGCTACAAAACCATCTCGGTTTATAGATTAGGAAACTGATAAACAATGTGCCCACAATGTGCCCAAAGTCATCCCCCTAAGGAGTGGTGAAGATGGAATTCTAGCTCAGATTAGCAAATTCCAAAGCTTAGGTGTGTTCTTAAGTTTGTCACTATACTATATTCATCAGAAACTTCTGAACATGGTTCTACTATTTGTTGAAAAGTGGTTAATTTCTCCTTGCTCTTGATCTGGATATGAAAGGTGAAAAGATGATAGATTACAAGTGAGAGTCAAAGCAAAAAGATGGCTCTAATTCTTTTTAATGTAGCTACATTTTAAAAATTGCTGATTGAGTGTGGTGGACAACTTTATCAGTAACAAAGGAGAGGGACACACTCTATTTCCCAGCTACACCACTAGTTTTCAATGCAAAGGTGAGCAGAAACTTGTGTGTATGTCCTCTGTGTTTTGGCTCAGAAGCAATTTATGGTGAACAAAATGTGAACAGAACATTCATTATGGTAATGTATTTCCTAATAAAAATGAATTTCCAATTATTATTTCTTAATAAAAACAAATGTGTCCTTTCACTATGTTCCGTCTCCCATTTCCCCAAGCTTTCGTGAGAAGATTTGTAACTTCATCCCTTAGCATAGACATTTTATATAACAGATCCACCAGTTCAGGATACTGGAAGCCTTTATATATTTGTTCTCTTATACCACTTTAATAAATCCTTAGGTGAAACCATCAATGATGGAATTGGATTGGTGGGAAGATAAGCAGGGAAGGGGCAACTGAATCCAGCTGCTTTCAGTGAGGAATCTGCCATGCCACAAAACAGTGATGGTAAATAAGAAAACTGTAAGCTACTTTACAAATAAAGTCAACTAATTCACTAAAAATCATCCAAAAGCTCTATAATGAATCAAAGGATCTGTTTAAAAGCACAACATTTTTTTGAAGCCAGCATAGCAGGGAAACAGAAGACATTTACAAACCCACCAAGATATGGCATCATTATCTCAGCTTCTATCAGCTAATGGAAGAGAATCTCAGTAATACCATCTAATTCTTGGCAAGTGAACTCCCAATCAAAACAGTCAGTATTCTTTTCCAGCATATTCTTTTCAGTTTATGAAGTTACTGATTTGATTGCTGTATGGTGGGGTGACGGGAAAACAATGGAGGGACAGGGAGCAATAAGATGGAGAGAAAGCAATGGTCTGGATTTTGCTTCAAGTCTCTTCTAGCCCCAAATTCATGCTATGAATGTTCTAATCTCAGTTGGGTCATTAACTTGCTGAATGCCCTTGCCCCCCCCCCCCTTGATTCTCTTCTTTGTCCTTCAGTGTTCTCATATTTTCTCGTTCTTTTCAATTTGTTTGAGACCTAAGAACTTTATCATAGTCAGCAGTTGTTGTTTTTTTTTCCCCCACTGTAAGAAACTTCTATTTCTCCCAAAGAAAACTCACCTGCTCTGAAATGCCTTCTCCGTAGCGGAGCAGGGTCACAAAATGCTCACAGTTGTTGACAAACACGTCATACTCCACCTCCTGTCCAATGACAAACTCTGACCTCTGCATGACCTCTTCCACGGGGAGGGGGCTGTACGTTTCATCGTATTTATTGTTTATTCTGTATGTGTCATCTCCCACAACATCCTTCAAAAGCTGCATCTTCACCAGGGCCTTTCTGCTGAACACAGACTTGGCGCTTGTAAATGACGCGGGGACGCCATCCGCTGTAAGGAGAATTCTGGTTAGCAAGATGAAGCGACCCGGCCCAGGGGACCGCAATGCCTTCCTAACCCATCCTCAAACCAGAACCCACTTTATCTTTCTAACCTTAAACACTCGTGCTCTAATTTATCAATCACACTTGTTCAGTTCTGTATGAGTGAGAACAGAAGAAAACTTTTTGAAAATGTACATCACTGGGTGTGAAAACTCTACCCATTCTTGAGGAGTAAGCTCTCTCTCAGTTGGTATTATTACTAGGGATCTTGGCATATGTTTCTAACATAACATGGATAAGACCATTGCCTCCTTTTTCTGTAAGGCAGCTGCTTTTTCAGCATTTGAATCCTTTCCAAACTAATACCATTGGGCTTCAGCACTCATCTTGCATCTAAGCCACACTCTTTACCCCCATCTCTGCATTTACACTTGTTCTTCCAACAAGGCTTCAACTTGAAACTTGCACGCGACCCCAGTCTTCTAAGGGGTCAGCTAGGGTCAGCCTGGGGCCCTGCCTTTGTCTTGCTAGTTCTTTGAGCCAAGAAGCTAAGTCCTAACATTAAACCTAATGCAGCAGACACTGTCCACTGTATGTGGCCCCTTCCAGTGCCCTACCTACCTGTTACAACACCCCATACCCTACCACTCCATCTGCATCCTGGCCTGCCGGGGCTGGAATCTGATGCCGGACAAATGATTCCTCAGCGTTCAGCTTTAACGCCAGGCCCCAGGCCCTCTCCATCCGCTCAAGACTGCTATTCTTGGCCACCGTCCACGTAAAGCGTGGGATGAAGGGTCTCTGTATAACCAGCGTTTAAACACGTTTCCTTTCCACTCCTCTTTTTTTTCTGTCCTCCAAACTCCTTTTCACTGGCACGGCATTTCCAGGTAATACCTAACACATTGAAAGTTCTTCCATATTACAAGTTCATAGGACACATATATTCTAGTTAGAATCATTAAGCTTCTTTTTTTGACTAGTTTGACGCAATCAATAGACAGATGAGAAAATTGAAGCTTGGGGAGATAAAGTGGTTTACAGAATATCTTATGAGTAATTAACAGAAGTGTGATTTTAATTT